TTTTTTTTTTTATTTAAAGTGATCTCATCAAGCAAGCAACGAATTTCATAGTTTCAACGGCATTGATAAACACAGGGTGTGTCCCCCCAGTGGTTAGTTGTAGAGCTGCCAACTTTAGATTTTGAAGGTGCAGGCTAAGTTGGATGAGAAACCGGATATACAGAATTCATTATACTTTCTAAGTTTTGATCTCTTTCTTGAGGCTTGTTAATGTTAGGCAGTGGAAAGCAGAATTATTGACTTATTGTTCTGAGGCTCTAACCAGACTAACACCTAAATATTAATTTGTTTTGTTTAGTTTAGTTTAGTATGGTAGCACACAGCAAGCAACTCCTCTCTCACAGAAGTAATGCATACTCCCAAACTTAAGATAAGCCTTAATATTTAAAATCCCACCAAAACATAAATAGAAAAAAAAATGATCAGAAAAAAAAGAGTTATATGTTCAGTTTAGCTAAACAAAACTGGGTCACCTGAAAGTATATAAAAATCCTAGATTAAAAAACAGAAATAAAATACACGCCCCCCCCCCAAACCCCAACCAAAAATTGGCTGTTTGAGAAGGATGACAATTTCTGATCTCTGTAGCCCTTGGGGGGGGATGTTAACATAACTGTGGCATCAGGATATGATGAATTTATCCCGGATCCCAAAAATGAACATGCAACTGGATTCCCAAAACAAACGTCCAACCTGTGATTTTTGTAATCGGGGATAAAACGTGTCAGATTCCAACTGGGCAACAGCAGGGATTGGAGCCAGCACTACTTGGATGCGCAAACGGTGCAAAGCACAGTACCAGGGACTAGTTCCTGATGCTGTGCTTTTCATGGTGCCTTTTCACCCTGCCACTGTGCAGGGAAACCATCAGCACATGGGCTAGCCAACAAGCTGCATTTTGCAACCATGCAGGGGCTCCCTCGTGTGATTTTCAGCATACCAACACAGGGTTCAGCTCATCAGCCAACAGGCTCCCTGGTACTCCAGCACTTAAAGCTTTTCTAATCCCAGCTGCTGCTGCCACACTCATGACACAGTTAAGTATGTCCTCACACCACTTGGTAAGCTTAAACCCATGATGCAGGCAGCATGATCACCTACCATGAAATCAATTAAAGGCATGATGAAAACCAGGCAAAAAAAAAAAAATCCCATTTTGTATGTGGATCATTTTTGTGGCTGGTTTCTCTTTTTGTTGCACCACTGATTACTTGAATGCATGGGAGAGTTATTTATAACAACGTTAACAAGTAAACCATGTAATAAGTCTGCCATGGGCCTGTCTGCAAAAGCTGATCCAAGAGACAGCAGAAGCCAAGCACTATATTATCCATGATTTTAAATTTCTATTAAGAAAATTAGCTCAAAATTGTATAGAAGAAGTGGAACCAAACAGAAACATTTTGTTGTGAAGTTCAATACACTAGTTCTGACAGACCCACACATTACCATTAAAAGCACTAGGAAACTTTAGAAAGAATTCAAAAATTTCAAAAAGAGGTTGCATCGCATTTTGAATTTCAAAAACCTTTTTAAGCACTTAAATAGCATGGAAATATCAATCAGGCCAGTGCAAAGTACCTTGCTAAGATTTTTAAATTAACTCATCAACTGTAAGGAATATTCCTATAGCTTGTTAAGGCAAGGTGTGTATTAGAAATATTTTATGACCTCCTGATTAATCACAGATTAAAGTAATACAGACCTTGAGATTTGAAATGTTAGGTATATACCTTCACTTGATAACGAAGAAGTTACCTTTGCTTGCTTTTCCAATGTGACATGAGCATTAACAATGCTCATCTTATCTAGGCTGCCACAATGAGATTTCTTTCAACCAGACTCCTGTAACTACAATTACCTTGTAGAATCTAATTTGTACATTTGTAGTATATACCCAAGTGCTAAAGTTCGTGTTAAAAACAGACTACATTCTATGCTCAGAAACTTGGAAACATTTCACCGGTCTACAAGAGTAGTTAGTCATACAAGATTAAGTTGTAGCAGGTTAAATTACTGAAAGTGAAGCTCTGTATTTTTTTCCAAGTTAAGTTTCATCTAACTGGTTCTAGAACATAATATGCTACTTACCCTGATATGATTCCTGCCAAGTCTTTCCCACAGTTTGTCATTTTTGGGATTCACAGGTACAACTACATGGTGCACAGTTTCTGGGACAGAGTCTTCTCCTTTTAAATCAACCCAGGTGGGAAAATGCATTATCTTCTCAGACAGTTTCTTTACATCAAAGGAATGTAAAGTTGCAGAACACACAATCACCTGAAACAGTACGAACACTTTAGGACAAGAACTTGGTGATACGGCACCTCTGAGTCATAACTCCTTGATCAAGACGAAAAAAATAAAATAAGAAACTGCCTTGTGTTGGTTACAGTAAAATAGCACTAAGCAAAGATCTCTTTGCCTTCTTACTCCCAGGCCACGTCCACATGAGCGTAGATGTTTAGTTCCCTGGGGACAATTAGCAGCAGGACATCTTGTGCCACTGCTAGTTGTCCCCAGACTAAGCCCGTGCCATATATCCTGTGGCATGCGTCAGGTTACCCTGGATGGGGTAGGGGAGGCTGGGGACAGCAGTTGGCTGGCCCCAAGCAGCCTTACTTGCCGTCCTGGGGGGTCTTCTGGGGCTGTAGCAGCAGCAATCTTGCCGCTCAGAGCCCACCTGGCAGCCAGAGCATGGCTCTGGCCAGCCAGGTTCCAGTTCTGAGCCGTGTGCACGGCCTCTGCATGTACTACTCTGCTTGTGTGTGCAATATCCAGGGGTTAAAAACCCCGCTCCCTGCATGGCTCCCTTGCAGCACGGAGAACAGCTGAAAGTGCAGTATGTGACAACACAAACATGTCGTGGTGCCCATACAGCATGGCTGTGCTTGTCTGGATGTGGCTCCTAGTTTCAACAGAGCTTAAATGGAACAAATCATGCTACTTACAAAATCATCACCAACTGGCTAAGTTACTCCAATTTTCTAAAAACTGACTTGAATGAAAGTATAGCCAAAATTATATATAATTTTGATCAGCAAAATTACTGGTAGCTGAAGGATGAAGACTGGTATTGTAGTTTTAGAAAACAGAGCACAACCGAATTATGCTAGAATGCCTTAGATACAAACCCCTTAAAACATGAGATTTCTGAGTCACAGCTCTATGAGTGTGCGCGCGTGCCATTAGATTTCAGTTTACTCCTGCACTGAGCCAGAACTTTGAATGGATGTCGAAATAAATATTGGGCAAAGAGCTAAGCACAAAGAGAATTAACTATACCTCATGATAATAAAATGCATAATACTGAAAAGTTATATTCAACACAGCATATAACATGTTAACATAATTGTAAATTACAATAAAAGGACAACTTTATACCTGCAGTCTCTTTCCATCTGAAGTTATCTGAGGAATCTGACTGTGGATCCTGTTTATAAAATCTGAATAACCTTGAAGGAGGAGGCCATCCTATAATAAAAATGAAACTTATTTTGAAGAAAAATGGTTAAAAAAGCCCTTTAACTCCCCGCCCCCAAAACCCCCCACATCTACTCTGGAACCAACATTAAGCTTTTGAAGATGCTGAAGCCAGAAGTTTGGTGCTTGACTGCAGTGTGACTAGATAGGTAGTATTAAATATTTCAGTATTTTGAACTTTAGTAATAATACATATTTTCTCATAATTCTGTCTTTTATAGGGAATTATATTTTAATTATCATGCCAAGTCTCCTTTGCTCCAAGGGCTCCATACTTCCCAAGAGTTTTTTTGTGGTTGATATTTCCATGCACGATTCCTTGGCTTATATGCTGCATGGGGAGCAACATTTGAACAAGACTACTTAGGTTTTCCAGAAGATGGAGCTTTCAAAAAGCTTCACCACTCAGACCTCCCCTGTCTTGGGGCAAGTAACATGTTGATTTGAGTTCTTCCGAGTGGGACTTGAGAATGACCAATGACTAATATTTTGGTTTGATCTCCAAACCAAAAGAATTAAAGCACTGACTTGGCTCAAAGTACAACGAAATTTTTGATAAAAACAAAAACATTATTTCAGGTTGAACAAACCATACTTCCATTTAGGGATTCTTAATAAAGGGATCTGAAGAGAAACCAGAGAATTCCAAAGCAAAGCAAAGCAAAGGAACATCTAGACAATTTACAGTAACTCCCCTCCCCTCCCCCAAAACACTTTTTTCTTTAATACAATAGTCCACTGGGTAAGAAACTTGCCTGGAAAGTGGGTGATAAGGGTAAGTTAAGATCCTGCCTTTTGCCTGTTGGACCTGAACCTACACATTCCACTTCCTAGAAGAGTGACTACCAGGTTGTAAGGCATTCTGAAAAGGAATCTCTTAGTCTCCCCCTGTGGATTCTACTGTATTTCAGAGAGGAATATTCCTTAGGCCAGACTGAATGACTTAACAGCTCAGTGTTTAGGACAGCCATTAAGAGGTGGGTTCAAGCACCCAGATAAATGAAATTTAAATTAGGAGAGTGCCCCAACTATCTTCTTGGTTATTAATTTCCTCCCCCGCCCAATCTTAAAAATTAATAGCCCCCAAAATACTTTTCAGCTGAAAGCATCTAACTTTCAAACACACATGAACTTTGTGTGAATAAGCTATACAACAAGCTTAACCTTGGATGCCTTATGGATGGAGGCTTTCAGTTGGTGACTACACTTATAAACTATACTTAGGATACTTAAGCAAGAAATGCAAGAAAAAGTGGTCAGTTGCTAATATATTTGAATATGTAATTGCTGTGAAGGCATGAAAAAACTTTCCTCAACACATAAGAGGAAATCAGCTTGTCCTGTGTAGTATTCTCTACCAAGGACAAAACACAATACGAAGCTGAAAAGAGTACTACTTACAGCTTCATCAAGAACCAGGAATCTAACTTGAGATAAATTAAGCTTTCCAGTTGACACAAGGTCATCCAGTCTTCCAGGGGTTCCCACAACTATGTCTACCTGAGAAATACAAAAGCATATGTAGGTAGCACGTCTAAACTCAACATAAGCGCTTAAGTAGATAATTATAGCTAGTAGTATCACATATACTTAAAATGGCTACCAGACATTTAAAAAAAAGAAAACAAAAACAACAGGTTCTTATAATGGGAACTTTGCCAAAGGTATTTAACTTTGCCAAACTTCAATTGTCTAAACTGACATGGGCCGAGTAAGATTTTCCCCTCTAGTTGCCCCTTCTGGATTTTAGAGACAAGTGTGACAAGATAACTTTTAGATCATTAGCTTGACATCCATGCCTGATGAAAAACAGGGAAGTTTACAACAGATCGCCATTAAGCATTACAGGATGATTAGCAATTGCATTTCTAGGCAATACTGTTTTACGGAAAATACATTAAATTTGGTCAAACAATGGGGATTTCCTTTTATTAAAAAAAAAGTTAGTTGTAGATGCAGACTTTTGGCAAGAGTCAGATTTAGAATATATTATGATCCTGTGCTTAAAGAAAGTCGTATACAAAGCACTTGTTATTTAAGAGCTGACTATCTACCAAAAGCAGCCAACTTTGTTTTTTTTTTTAATAAAGAAAACACAATACCTGAAAACTAATATATTTATATTGAGATACTGAGTACTGAGCTAAAGACTTCAAATTGTTTAGGTTTTTGGAAGACAAATTGTTTTCTGCAACTGAATAATTAAAAAGAATAGTTAATATACACATCAAGTAAAGTACATACATGGCAAATAGTTTTGTTAGTTCCTCTGTACGATGAGAAATATTGTAGAATATTGTAATCTAGCAATAGTTTGCTCAGTTATAACCCTGATGAACAGAAATGAAGTGTGTTGCATGATTAAAAAAAAAACTGTTATTAAAATACAACTTACACCTTGTTCCAATACAGACAGCTGATCTCTTGCAGCAACACCACCAATAATCAACAGTTCCCTAAAATAAAAACATAAATAATTTTAATTAAATCAGGGTATTTCTTATATATTTAGGAAACAGCATGTGACCCAGTTTTTTCACAGTCTCCCTTAAAAGATTAGAATTCTTTTCCCCCCCCATACACACATTACCCCTTTTCCAATTCCTGTTTCTTATGTAATCTCTAGAAATTCACTGTATACCCCAGTTTACGAAACATTATTATAGACATTTTGAATCATATATTTTACTGTACAAAAATTTGCATGTACAGCAGAGTAGCTAAACATTTGTTTTCGTCTTAAAATATTCCACTTCCTTGTCTGCCTTTAATAAACGTACTATGTTTTTAGGTTTTTTCACAGCAGAAAGATGAGCTAAATTTCTCTCCCTCTCTCCCCATTTCAGTGGAGGTCTTACATGTACCCTGCAATGTCTGTCACTCACACTTCTTCAAAATTTCTGTTTCATAACGTACCTCAGGTCACACTCACTGTAGCCTGGAGAGTTAAGAATGTTAAGAAGGGTCTGTAAGGCATGACCTTACATTCATGGAGACTGATGGTTTAAAAAACAAAAAACCTAACAAAACACAACAAAACCCAAAACGTATCTGGATGTTATTATATTGAGACGTCGTTACCTTAATTTGGGATTATCTACATATTTTTTGAATTGTTTCACATTGTTCAGAGTTTGTTCTGCTAACTCTCTGGATGGTTCCACAATTAATGCTTTAGGAGCATTAGGAAGGTTCTGTGTTTGAGCCACCTGTGCACTTCCTAAAGAAGGAAAAACAGCATACTTTGAGACTTCTTTAGTTTTTCCCCATTTAAAAAAAAAAACAAAACAAAAAAACACCACATACAAACAAACCCAAAACAAAAGCAGAAAATACCACTTTATCTCTGATAGCCAATATGACTGATGGAGTGACTCATTTACTATGATTGTTAAAATGCCCTTTTGAAAGGTACATTTTCAAAGCCATATTAACACTATCAACTATAGCAGGTAGATACAGAAATGTTTACCTGACGTTTGAGCTCAATTTTTAAAAATAAATCAGGCATGACAACTCTTCATAAAGTCATATAAATGAGGAGTTGGTTTTCTCTTCAGTGGAACACTTACTAATTAACAGGTTTGCTTTTCAGTGATTGATGCCTTTTAAGTTAAAAAGGCCCATTCCTCAATATTTTCCCTATATACAGCCAACTTGCCTTAAATGTTAGCTTATGTGAAAGCTGTCCAAATTCTGGGCAGCATTCTCTCACTGTGGGCAGTGTGCACCCCCCCACCCCAACACCCACCTTTCTAAGCCAACCTGTCCCACCTCCCACTGTGGGGCCAGCAAGTAGAAGCTAGAGAGAGTGGGAGCCAGAAATCCTGGCAGCAGCAGGAGCAGAGGCCCACGGGCCAAATGTGAACTTTTTCCAGGCTGCATCGGCCCTGTGGGCTGCCAGTTGAGCAGCCCTGGCTTATATGCAATTATGACTTACATTAACAGCAAGTGAGATTTTTCCCTAAGATGCTTTAACTTTGCTCCTACAGAATTCATTGAACAGTCCCCAGCAATTTAAAATTGGGACCAGTTATACCAGTACAATGTACCCATACAAAAAAACCACAGAAAACTTCTATTCAGCCTCTGAATAGACTCTGATAGTCCAGAAATTCTAATATTAAAGCTTCAAAATCTACCTGTGTGCTGGGATTTTACCACATCACGATCAGGAGCTTTGCAAAGACCAATAAAACCATCTTTTGGTGGAAATTTGAATTCATCTTCACCAAAATTGAATTTCAGTTCAGCATTCTAAAAACAAAACATGCATATACACATAAATCACTTCAGAAAGTAGTGGTAACTTCAAACAAGATCTGTTTTTTGTTAAAATGTCTCAAACAAACAACTAGAATTGGTTAAAAAAAATTAGTTCAGCTGTTTATCAAGCAGTAAAGCTTATTCATCTTTTTAAATACGTTTCCCCAAAAATGAGCCATAAGCACTGTTATCAGATTATTTCTCTTTATCTGCACCTTTTGTATGACCCTCATATTCTGGGAGTGTGGTTTAGTAATTTTGATCCTGACAAGAACTGGGAGACTACGACTGTGTTCTCTCCTGCAGCAAACACATTATAGATTTACTTTGTTTCTGAACAAGAGGTTAGAATAGATAGTTTTAGACTACCTTTCAGCCCTGTGTTTAAAATCCTTCTGTATTAAAAACACTCCAGTTCTAATTAAGGATGTATGAAATTGAACATTTTTGCCCAAGTAATGAAATGTTAAATTTATCAGTATTGGAACCACTTTAATCACTTTTGAGTAGTTAATCAAAGTTTTAAAGGCATGTTGTCTGTAAATGGAAAATTGAAGATTAATGTATTAATAGATCTGTTGTAACAGTAGGGTTGTGAACATAGCTGAAAGGGAAAACTCAAGAGTTAAAAATTGTTAGTTCTGCTAGATCACTTGCTTCATATAAAAGGCATTTTCTATCAACTGCTTTCTCATTTTGTCACATCCTAACAGTTCAACAGATGGACAAAATTGCTTCTGTATTTTATTCTCTTCTGCCCCTGTTTTCAATTTTAATGTTGTACCATTGTACAAGTTTGCATTTTATGTACTTAATATAATACAGTTGCAAACTTGATTCTTCTACATTAGAAAAGCCACCACTTGAGGTGAACTACTTCAGCAAATTTTAGGTAGCTATGATGCAAGATTACAAAAAAAGAAACTACAATAATGGAGACCAGAGGTATATCCAGGATTTCCCAAAGGGATAGGGGTGGGGAGGGATGCAAGAACAGCAATCCACAATGCAGGGACGGTTGCACCCCTAGCTAGGAAGGGTGTGCGAAACGGGCCATATTCGATTCAGATTCAGCCCGAATGGGGGGACAGCGATTCGATTCAGATCACTGTCCCCGATCAGATTTGGCTGAATCTGAAGATTCAGTGCCAATTCAGAGAATCAGTGATTCGGCCACAGACAGAGCTTTAAATGTTTTTTCTACATACCTCAAGGTACCAGGCGCAGCTTATGAACGCTGCTATGATGCGGCAGATGGAGCATCCCACAGGAGTGTGGGGGGGCCCCTCCCCCATGCGCTTGGCGGTAAACCCGGAGGTGGACCGGAAGTACGTCCAATCCACTTCCAGGTCTGCTGCCAAGCGCGCAGGGGGCCCCCCCAGATGTAGGAGGCACCAGTTGGGGAGGGGCGTGCATTCCCTGGGGGACCCAGAAGTGGATTGGCAGTGCTTCTGGTCTACTCCTGGGTCTGCTGCCAAGCATGCTGGGGACCACCCCCACGCTCCTGTGGGATGCTCCACCTGCCCCACCATCTCAGCATTTGCAAGCCACTTGGTACCTTGAGGTATGTAGAAAAAACATTTAAAGCTGTACCTATGTCCAAATTGTTGAATCTTTCCCAATCGATTTGGAAGGATTAAAGGGCCTCTTGATTCGATTCGGAGATTTGGCCATCAAATTGGGCCAAATCTCCACCAAATTGAATCAGTGACCGAAGCTTCACACAGCCCTACTAGCTACTTGCTTCCTCCCCCACCAATGTGAGCAAACCACCCTCAAGAACCTCCAGGCACTTTTAAAAACTGCCTAAAGTAGGTGAAAATCCCCCCTCTCATCCCTTGCTACTCCCCAGCTTGCTGTTGCTTCCCTCATTGTTCAGGGGGCTGGGATTGCACCAGAGCTGTTCCTACCCATCCCAACCAAGATGCGCTGCAGTTGGGCTCATCTAAGGATGGGGACAGCGGCAACAGCAGAGCAGGAGGGTAATCCCCAGCCCGCAACATTTTACTCCCAGAGCAGATCCAGGAAAGAGGATTCCCCCCTACCTATCCCTACTTCTCCTTTTCTTGTCTCCAACTGAACCCATCCCATATGCAACCCGACTGTGATAGACAAAAACAGCTCTGGTACAACCCTCGCCCTGAGACAGTGGGGAAAACAACTGTACCAGGTGGGAGACAGGAGGAGAGAAGAATTTTCACTTCCTTTTAAGGGCCTACAGAAGTCCCTAGAGGCTCCTGTAGCGTGGTCCAATGCAAAAGGGGGTACAGCCACCCGCTGCACCCCCACTGGATCTTACCTGATGAAGGCAAGTATGCAAGTGTGATATATAAAAATAGTTATGAAATATAACATGCTAAGAAAGCCTAGAACAACCCTCAGACCAATATGTATTGTGACATTTAAAATTACCTTCAAAACACAGGATGCAAAGAGTGCTTGGTTCCTTACGTGTGGTGGGATTTCAAGCTGATGTTAGACATAGTGGGCTCCTGTACATGTGCAGGGAGCTGGCTCTGACAGGTTGGAAATCCAGCGTGTTGGAACAGAATCCAGTGTCACGTGTATCAGTGTCCCCATGCTGAAACATGGTGGTGGGGTGCTTTAAACTAAAGCCTGTTTGATGATACATTTTGCTTTGAACTAGTGCTTTGAACTAAAGCTCAGACGCTGATACACATGATGCTCAGGTGCTTTTAATTAGCACAGCTTGTTAATTAAAGTGCCCCC